TACTTAATAAATACATGTACATGTATTTTCTTGGTAATTTATTTGGCAAATTTGTATTCATGTGTTGATGAATTATTTAGTTTTATACATTTAGTAATTGAATGTACATTTGCTTTATATTTACAGGATGGAGAAAGATGTTTACTATGGATAAAAAATTCAAAACAGAGGACTTTTATATATAAACAAAAATACGTGTACATGTATGATATACATGCAAAAAGAAAACAGTAATCAAATGGAATGTCTATGTGATTGCAACAACACATTTTAATGGAGTGATGTTGAAAGCAAAATTATTTTTGTTAATAGAAACAATAGGACTACAATATATTAGGGGTAAGTAATCCAAAAGTGTCTGTGTAGGGTAATTACAAAAGTGGGTTATTTACAATGTGCTATGATTTCAATCCCCCAAATATGGAACAAAACATAATATACATGGTATTCATACTGTTTTCATAAGGAAACAGACTAAAAATATTCTGCATTTAACAGTCAGACTGTGACTCAGACATGAAAGTTTCCAATGGAATAAATTAGGACTGGACTTAAAATTTATAGGATATGGGTCAAGTAATCCTACACAGAATTTAGGCCAAATGGTATACTATAATAGTTTAAAGATTTTATTCTATTATCTATGCTGTATGAATGTCAATATTGTTTCATTTGGATTTAAAACCTAATTTCAAGAATGAAGTGTACAGTAATTTAAAATTCATTTATATGATTAAAAATAATATAAGGGAAGTAACTCTTACATGATGTGCATCATATTCTGAAGTGTTTTAATAAATTTGACCATAATTTTGTCAGATAAGAGAATGACTTGAGCAGACCATATTGGGGTCATAGATGGCCATAACAATGAAATACAATATATTATAATTATCATTCTTCATTAATTTTTGATGGAATTAACAAACTTAATTTAATTAACAAAATATTTTCTTAATTTCAGTATACAACACATCAGAAGAATAATTTTACTCGAGGATAAAAATTTTAATACCTAGAATCAGCAATTTATATGAAATTTGTTAAGAGAGATATATTCACGTACAGAATTGTAACCCCACCAGATAACCCTGAGGTGGTTCAAGTGATTATTAGCAGACATTTTTGTTGAACTAATGCAAAATTTAATAAATGAAACTTTAGTAGACTATGGGCTCCAAAGTGTTGTAAAAAGAGTATGTTGTGCATATGTGAAATGTTGCAATATTGTTTCTTAGAAATTCAGATTATTGACTTAGTTGTTTTCATGAAATTTTTTATCAAAGCAATATCACTTTTATGTAATTAATAAGATTTCATATGTTTTATTTTATACTTTTGAGAACCGAACATATCTTCCCTCTGGCCTCAAGTGTTTCCCTTTTATTTTGCATAAGTGTAATTTAAAGAAAGCTCCCTTTTGCTTTTGGCGAATTCAAGTTTTGCCATTCCAGAATTATTGGACTTTATTTATGGAAAGTTAGACATTTACCCAAATGTTGTAGAAGAACTCAACTTTGCCTTGATACTTGTTCAAGAAATTGTATCATAAGGCTAGATTTGATCAAATAAGCTCATTTTTGAGTATTTATCACATATCGCATACTTAAATAAAAACTAGTATGCTTAAATTGATTTCCTTCACTTTTGCCCTGTTGTTGAGATTGAGTGAAATAATTTAATTATTCTATCCCTATCAATTTAAGGGTGCAATAGGGACCGGCATTCAACACTACATAACCATATCCTATCACAAGTTATGATACAGCCAACCATACAACATAGCCCCTGCCACTGAAAGGAGAAAAGAGGTGCACAACATACAAAAAATATTTCATATGGCTAGCTACATTATATCCTTTAAAATATTTCATTGATTTTTATACGACCGCAAATTTTTTTTTGCGTCGTATGATGCTACGATGTTGTCGTTGGTGTCGTCCGAAGACACATTTGGTTTCCGAATAATAACTGTAGTTTAAGGAAATGGATCTCTATGAAATTTTACCAGAAGGTTTAATACCACAAAAGGAAGGTTTGGATTGATTTTTGGGGTTATGGTACCAACAGTTTAGAAATAAGGGGCCAAAAACAAGCATTTTTGTAGTTTCCCGACAATAACTTGTGTGTAAGTGTATGGATCTCTCTGACATTGTACCACAAGGTTCCATATCACAAAGGAAAGACTGGGATTGAGTTTGGGGGTAATTGCTCCAAATGTTCAGGAATTGGAGGCCAAAAAGGGGCCAAAAATCAAGCATTTTTTCTAGTTTCCAGACAATAACTTGTGTTTAAGTGTATGGATCTCTCTGAAATTGTACTACAAGGAACATTCCACAAAGGGAAGGTTGGGATTGAGTTTGGGGGTAATTATTTCAAGGGGGGACGGGTTAAAAAAATAATATTTTTGGGGGGGATTTTTTTTTCATATTTTTTTTCTTTATTTCTGATTTATATATAAAAGCAATAAATACTGATATGGCAGGAGATACACACCGAACAGGATGTGAAAATTATTATATTAAGTATTCTGCAGTAGCACAGAATTGCTCAATAGCAAAAAATCTTCAATTGCATAGTATTGCGCAATAGCAAGAAATCTTCAATTGCACAGTATTGCGTTATGGCAAGAAAGCTTCAATTGCATAGTATTGCGCAATATCAAGAAATCTTCAATTGCACAGTATTGCGTAATAGCATGAAACTGAGAATGGAAATGGGGAATGTGTCAAAGAGACAACAACCCGACCAAAGAGCAGAAAACAGCCGAAGGCCACCAATGGGTCTTCAATACAGCGAGACTTGATTACAGTTCCAATACAAAAATAAGAAGTTGGGGTATGATTGCCAACGAGACAACTCTCCACCAGATACCAAATGACGAAAGGTTAATGAGAATAGGTCTCTGAAGGCCTTCAACAATGAGCAGAACCAATACCGCATAGTAAGCTACATGTATAAAAGGTCCCGAAATAACATGACAGGCTGAAAATGAATATTTTGCATCTGTATGCAATGTGAAAATATATTTAAAAATAAAAGCATGTGTAGCAATGGATGCAAATGAATAGCCAATCCAGAAAAAAATCCTACTACCTCCCACGTTTTGGCTAATGCGGTTAATTCGAAACAAACTTATACATACTTCATTCAAATGGTTTACATTAAGCAAGACAAAAAAATAAAATAAAAGAACTTGGGGAATGGGTATAAGGGCAAAATGACCCAGGGCGAACAGGTACTTTGGCGAACGGATCAGGATTGCCCTACCGCCACCTACATGTACCTAGAATAGCTAATGTTCGTCCCCCATATGCATAGATATATTAATAATCATGCCCTAAGAAAGTGCACACGGAGTTTTTAAAAAGAAAAGTCATGAAGAGTTTAAACCTACACTGCAAACCAGAAAGTAAGAAGTCTTACTATACAAATCCTTGTCTAAATTCAAATTTAAAAGAGCACCCCCCCTTTTAAAAAAATAAACAAAACACATATCAATAACGAAAGGAAAATTATGAAGAAAAAAATGATAGCTTTTCTATGACATATTCAGAGTAGATGTTCAGAAAAAACTCATTGACAGGTAACAATATTCACGAAATAAATATGGATTCACGAAGTATGATGTCAAAGATATATATGGTTTATGTAGGCCTAAAGCTGTTATTTTACAAAACTCGGCTTTTTTTGGTATAACGTTCATATGGATTCACCATATTGCATGATTTCCTTCACATTAAGATAAACAAAATTGCTACAAAGAAGAAAATAATCCAGCTTTTAATGACATTTAACGGTGACATTTTCGGCGCCGGAAATTGACAACGTTGATCTAACATAATGACACAACTTCGGTTATGTTCGATTCCGGCAATTCTGCTTCAAAAAATCACTAGCATTTAAATCTTATTTATGTCTTAAAATATATTTGTTATGTTTCAATAATTTTTCGTCGATAATTATTTTCGAGAGATGAATAGCTATCGTGTACTTTAGAAACAAGGTTAAGGGAGGACAACGCCCCCATAGAGGTGACATATAAAATAAAGATGACCGTTCTCCATTTCTACTCGATAGAAGTGCCTAATGTTTTCATGACATATACATTATGTACCAAAGATTATCACATGAAAGTATAAAAAAAATCAAGGCGATGATTTTTTAGAAACAGCTAATAATTATAGCAGACCAATAGACGTAATAAAAAATAGACGAAAACGGTGCCTTCTTCAATTTCGAAGAAAATCTATAATTTTACAAATTATTAACACATATTGTTATTTTAAAAGGGGTTAAATATCTAAGGATTCACCTTTTTATGACAGTTAAATGAATATTTACTTTAAAAACAGAAACTCTTCCAATTTCTAAATCTACCGACCTTGCTAGGAAAACCCTATAAAAAATTGAGACCCCTACATTAAAATGGATACAAATTGTTGCCCTGGCATAAACACCACTGTTCTTTACGAATTTCGATGCCAAAAACTAGCGAGAATAGGATGTAAAAACTTTTCGAAAATCAAAGGATAGGTATTTTTTTTGTACCCATTTTTAATATCGCTATTTAATTCTACAGTGCAGTAAAACAAAATCCGAAATTTTATGTTCAGATATAAACAAATAAGATTTTATTTTATTTTAATGTTCGAAAATGATAATAATTTGTAAACTCATATATTTTTCTCTCATAGATGTGCTTACAATCAACAATATTTACCATCTGTACTTTGCCGTAAACGAATTAAAAATTAACAAAGCGCGCCATTTTTCAGTTGACGTCGGCCGACGCAAACTAGTCCAAGTTTTCGCGTAGGACTACTGAGCGCCGTCGAATCACATTTTGGCCAAAAAGGCACATCCGGTTGTCCTACTGGTAGGATAACAGTTTGTGTGCTGTTCCTGTCTATCTGACACATAATTATATATTATAACTTTGTAATGATCAGTTGAACACTTGAATATAATTTTAACGATAAGATAATATGAACGGATGATCTAAATATGCCAACTTTATTTGAAGAGTATGTAAACATTGGTAATCGCGGTTGATATTTTACTATATCAATTTGCAGACAACCCGAGCAGCTATACATATGATCACAAACGAACCAGAAGATTATTATAGATCTGTTTATCATGGTAACTAGCCAGAATGTTTTCCTTCCTTTTGAGAGTAACACACATACACTATTGTAATTGCACTGTCCTATGTTAGTTTGGCTTATATTAATCATATTCTGTTTGATTTTTATGTTGTATGCACACGTTTTGTTAACAAAATTAAAGTTTCTGCTTATCGATGGACGAATGCTGTATTTATCGGATCATATGCATTTGATGTTGGGCGTGTCATGAGATCTTGATATGTAGAAACCTTTTCCATTCGAACATCGTCATAATGTTGCTGCTAATGACTACAAAAATACAAAATAAGTTATAAATATAAAATGTCTAAACAGTGTTGTTGGTATCGAAAAACTTTTAGAACATAGAAGGAATACATTCAAATGTTACATTGTTAAAAAAAAGTAAAAAACAAAAATACTAAACTACAAGGAAAATTAAAAAACGGAAAGTCCTTTATGAAATGACAAAATCAAAAAGCTCAAATACATCAAACGAATGGAAATTAACTCTCATATTCCTGACATGGTACAGGCATTTTCTTGTGTAGAAAATGGTGGATTAAACCTGGTTTTATAGCTAGCTAAACCTCTCACTTGTGTGACAGTCGCATAGAATACCATTATATTGACAACAATGTGTGAGCAAAAAAAAAACAGACATAATAGGTATAAATGTCAAATACTGGGGTACAGCAGTCAACATTCTGTTATAATCTTAATCACTATAAAAATAAATAACTATTTCAACAAAGTAAATAAAATGCATATAGACACTCTATAGGTGTAATACCACCAAATCATAGTACGTCACATCCGGTTGCATACGGAAAAGTGTCGAAAAAAAATATTCCCTTGCATTTGACAGTTGTAGGAAATTGATCTTACATTTCATTGCAGTAAAACATTTCTGAGTCATAACATATATTTTTGGTGTTTCAAAGCACCACTCTTTTTTTATTTGGTGTTTCTATGGAATATTTTGGAAACTTGAGAATACATGGTTACTAAACCTTGTAAACAGGAAAGAAAGGGGTGGACATTTGATTGGTTAACTTCCAGTGATGGTTATTGTCTTGTATGCAATGAAATGTTATGTGAAACTTTTTTTCTGTAGTACTGGACAGGATATAACTTTACTCATGCCAAGTATTTCTTTATTTGAAACATTGATAAATTCTGCACAACTTTTTGAAAAGTACAAATTTAACAAAGACTAATAGGGGAAAACAATGGTGGTATTACACCTATAGACAAAGTACATAAGCAAAAAGGAAAGATAAGAATACAAAAAAGTCCATAGCACAATAACACAATGGCGGGACGTATAAATACCGAGCCACGCCAAAAGTATATTACCAAAAATGGACTAAACAGTAAAGTTTGAAAATATAAAAAGAATCTATACTTCAAGACCACCATGTATTACTTGTGAAGTTGATTCGGAAAAATATTTATCAACTTAGTCTTGGTATCTTCCGATGAACTTCTTTTTAGAAAAAGGACGAGGCGTTCTTTGACATGACCATGATTCATCAACTTTCTGCTCAGACACTGGTGACGTTTTATAAAGTCCGAGTAGTAGCTGTAAGCTCTTTAATACCGAATGAGTTGGGAAATGTATATCCCATATGCAGGTGAAGTTGGTATATTGCTGCTAAGGTGGGGAAAATTGATAATTTCAAAATTAAAATCGTAAGATTCTGGTACTGAGATGATCGCTTATGTCAAATTCGAGGTATAAAAATGAGGCGGAGGAAACCACTTATGTTGTTTCTTTAAATTCAAGTTCTGGAAAATATATTAATGGAACCCATCTTGAAAGTTTGGATTGTTAATGGAAAGGTCATCAACAATATATCTGAATGTGAAATTAAATGATCTGGCTTCTTTGATCTTGGTTTTTACACGTATCTGAAGGAACTTCGACTCATATGAAAATACGAAGAGTTCGGCAAGGAGAGACGCACAGTTCATTCCCATAGGAATTCCGACAACTTGTTGAAAATGTCTAACTCCAAATTCAACAAATATGTTGTCAATAAGAAACTCATGCATAATGATCACTTATTCCTCAGTGTAGCATGATTTACCTTTTTGTTCACTATTAACAAAATATGCCGTATGGTATTCCAAAGCAATAAATTTATAGCGTATGCTACCATTTTTATATTGAGAAGCATTGTGGATTATTTCTTTGAGACGAATTTTCAATTTCACATGGGGAATGGTGGTGTACAGGGTTAAAAAATCAAAAGTTTCGACAGAATTAATTTCAGAGAAAGATCGAGATTTAAAATTATCCATAAGTTCGTTAGAGTTAAAATGTTGTTAGTAGTATGAACGTCTTATGTTGTTTTCAGTGCGAACAAGTTTTTTTTGGATATAATCTTTATCAGTCACGACTAATTTTTTGATTCAAACAAATATTTTTAACTAGAGGATCTACGAAATCTTAATCCTTGACCTGGAAAAACATATGCAATATTAAAATTAATTTTTTTTTATCCATACATTCATAACAAGAAAGATAAAATGTATAATAAACCTGAAAATAAGAAGATTTGTTATGATTGCCAATGAGACAACTTTCCACAGAGTTCAAATGACGTACAAGATAACAACAATAGGTCACCATACGGCCTTCAACAATGAACAAAACTCATACGGCATAGTAAGCTATAATAGGCTCCGAAATGACATATTTTAAACAATTTAAACGAAAAAACTAACAGCCTGATTAATGTACTAAACAATAAACGAAAAAAAAATTTGATATACAACAACAGACGAAAACCACCAAATTACAGGCTCCTGACTAGAAAAAGGCAGATACAGAATGTGGCGGGATTAAACATGATTGCATGCGCCATAATATGGGCCAGTGGTGTAACATTACAATATCAGGACAAACTATATAATTCAGTTGAAAAGGGCGTAGCTCATCAGATCGATACAAAGCACAAAAAACCCATAACAGTAACACAAAAGACACAAAGTTGAGATCTGAAAGTACTCGCAGTTACTGAAAGCTAGTTCAAAGCCAAACCCAACTAAACGAAAGCATGTATGTATTACAGATACAATGTATAAGCGTTGATTCTTGAAAAAGAAACCATGAGCCCGGAGGCTTAAACTATTGTGTTGATTTCTTTTCAAAATTACAGTCTTTTCTTAATTAGAAGGTATTGTAATTGAGTTTAAATAACCATGTTGTCATGTTCAACGATGCATTAATAAATCTAAGTTCACAATTAATTGGTTTAAGAAATACAAATATAACATAACACGCCTGTCTTTACATTATCAGGCATCTAAATAGTATCCTTAATTTAGAAAATAAGACATTTTCGAACTTATTTCAAAATATGATACCGAAAATTATATTAAAAAACCTAATTCTAGGCACATCACGATTTACTTGCATAGGAATTTGCGAATAAACATTTGTAACTTGTGTAAAGATATGTAGTAAAACAGATGAAAGCATACTACTGTTATATTTATAAAACAAAAATAGACAAATTAAATGTAATCATTTTCTTTTCAAATATATGAAATAGCCAATAATAATCCAAAAATAAACGAGAAAACACGCTATTATTACAAAAATAGCCACAGAAACATACTAAATAAGAAAAACGGAAAAACTAAAGAATAGGGACAACAAAGAGAATACAGGGACTACCTTTAACTTGACTCTTTAACTCATTGATCTTAACCATGTTAACATCGCGGCTACCCCTTATACTATACGATTGTCTATTATGTATACATATAGGTACAATCCCTGTGTGTCCACTGAACCTATGTGTACCATATGTTCAGTTATATATAATATAATAGACATTAAAATTGCAACCCATTGGAAGCCGAGAAGTTTCGACAATGTGTTGATGTCAATCAGACATAACATATTTCAAGGAGGGTTCGATTCCCAGTGAAGGCATATAAAAATTAAATTACAAATATAAATATAATTACAAATATTAAAGGTAAGTTGTTGTAACAGGAGACCTTAACATCGTCCAGGACCGAGAGTTGAAATCTTTCCTTGGTAAAGACCTAAATATCGTCCCCCGTCAATTATTAATTGGAATGAGTGTCGTAACATCATCCACGACTGACTCCGTACTTACTACACGAAATGGACAAAACGAGAAAAAGCTGACAAAAAATCCTTAGATTCTTTTTTTAATTCAGTAATGAACATAGTTGATATTCGTATTTAAACATTTTAAAGAACATTTTACTCCTAACAACAACCATAATAGCCCTATTTCTTGTATCAAACATAAGCTAAAAGAACTCGCCAAGGAATTGGTTTTCGTCCAGGCTGATAAGGCTGCCAATAATATTATTATTGTTTGACGTAAATTTTACATTGAGGTTCTGCAAAAGGAAATCACAAATTCACCAACATTCAAACTGACTCCATTTCCGGAAAAATGACATCTGTAACAAACATAAACTTTTAGCTACCTCTTTACAAGCAGAACCAAATACAATAAAAGTTCCAACTATGTACTGGCTTCCGAAGCTGCACAAAACACCTTACAAATATAGATTTATTTTGTCTTCAAGCCATTGTTCCACTACTAAACTGTCTATTCTACTTACTAGTAAACTTGGTACAATCACAAACCTGGTAAAAGTGTTCAAATAAGGCCTTTGGAAATAGTGGAATTAATTACTTTTGGTGTGTCAAAAATTCATTGGAAGTACTTGGAAAATTGCATGCTGATATTGGTGATTTCAAATCTGTTCGAAGTTTGATTTTTCTACCCTATATATCACTTTGCCTCACTATCTCATTAGGAAAAAATTCAAACATCGAATTAAATGGGCATTTAAAAAGTCAGAATGCGAATATATATGTTCAAATTCTTTTAGGTCATATTATAGTAACAACTAACAAAAGAACTATGTCAATTGGACCTGCTTTAACACGATAACTGCACTTGTATTTTTACTAGAAAACATTTGTGTTCGCTATGGAAACTCCGTATAACGTCAGGTTATCGGAATTCAAATGGGGACTAACTGTTCACCACTTATTGCTGACCTGTTTTTGTGTTGTTATGAGTTACAATTTATGACTAAAATCAGCAAAGACCCATCGAAACAACATCTGATACAAAAAATTAATTACACTTTTAGATATTTGGATGAGATATTCGCTCTCAATGATGATATCAGTACGACGCTAAAGATATTTATACTGCTGAACTGACTTTATATAAAACTGACAATGAACACTGCCCTTTCCTGGATCTTGATATCTATATCTT